GAAAAAAAAAAAGTTTAGAATTTATCTCAAAGAATGTATGAATGACTGCAAAGAACACCTCAAAAGAAAAAAAATGGGCCGGGTGCGGTGACTCATGCCTATAATCCCAGCACTTTGGGAGGCAGAGGCAGGTGAATCACTTGAGACCAGGAGTTCAAGACCAGCCTGGCCAACATGGTGAAACCCTGTCTCTACTAAAAATACAAGAATTAGCCGGGTGTGGTGGCACACATCTGCACTCCCAGCTGCTCAGGAGGTTGAGGTGGGAGAATCACTTGAACCAGGGAGGTGGAAGTTGCAGTGAGCCGAGATAGTGCTACTATACTCCAGCCTGAGCGACAGAGTGAGACCCTGTCTCAAAAAAAATAACAATTAAAATAATAAAATAAAACAATGGGACTTGTATTCTCAGTCACTAACCCTTATTAAAAAGTTACAATCATTAAAATAGGGCAACAAATACCAATGTAAGAATGACGTGATAGGCCAACGGAACAGAATGGTAAACCCAGTCAAACACACAAAAATATTTAGTGTATGATAAAATGGCCTTTCAGATCATTGGAAAATGATTAATTTGTTTATAATTCATTTGGCGACAGTTGGTTAATTTGCTTTAAAGTTATGTTCTTACCTCTCACCACACATGAAGGTAAAATAGAGTTTAATATAAAAAAGTGAAATGAAATCATAAAATCACAGAAGCACATTTAATTGAAAATGTATATGTTCCTGGTGAAGGCAGCAGTTATGCAACAATAAAGTCCAAGACGATAAAGAAAAGATTAATAATCTGACAGCTTAAAAATGAAGCATCAAGAAAGTATTTTAAAAATTGATGGAAATGATAAATTAATTGCATAATATGTGACAAAGAGCGATATATGAAAAGGTGCTAAATACATATCTTATAAACCAATACTAAAAAGATGAACATTACAATAGAAAATAGTCAAAGAATATGAACAGAAAATTTATCATTCATTCACTCAACAAATATTTATCGAGCACCTCTTCTGTGCCAGACAAGTTTACACATGGGACACAGCAGTGAACAAGACAAAGGTCTCTGCCCCAAGGAGCTTACATTCTACTGGAGAGAGACAAACAATAAACAAGTAAATTATGAAGTATTTTAGACAGTGGTAAGTACTATTGGTTAAAAAAAAAAAAAAAAAAAAAAAGAAGAGTTAAGTAAGGCGATGAGGAGTGAGACATGGGGAGCTCAGGGGCTGGGGAGGTCTCATTAGGAAGGAGACATTTGAGCAAAGCTTTGAACAGATTCAGGGAGTTGACCACACAGAGCAGGGGAAATTGCCATGGTGCGGTGGAGGGGCAGGAGAAGGCCAAGGTGGCTGGAACAGAAAGAGCAAGGGACCAAGTGGCGAGGATCCTGGAGACCTTGAACAGGACTTTGGCTTTTAACCTGAGAACCATTGCAGAGCTTTAAGCAGAAGAGTGAAATGTCTCAAAAGGATCATTCTGGCTACCGTCTTGAGAGCAGACTTTTGGGGTACAAAAGTAGGAGCAAATAGACCATTTAGGAGGTCAGCAAACATAAGGCAACATGTTCACTTCCGCCAGTAAGCCCCCGAAGAAAAAAATGACAAACTAAAAAATGATATATCCACCTGTTTTTTAACCTATCCAATTTTTTAATGTCCTTTTTAGAATATGGCTCAGGTACTAACCGGCGTAGGGGCAACTTCAGGCAGTGCTAAATGGGAACCCACCGTTTTCTGGGACGCGCTGGTATTCTTGTGCTAACAGGCCTTAAAAACACTCAAACCCTTTCACCAGAATGCAACTTCTAATAAATTAATCATAAAGCTCAATAATACTGATACTTAAGTGAGTCTTCGTACGCACGCCAGGTTCTGGACTAAACACACTCCACATTACCTCATTTAAATTCTTACCATTATTCCCATCTTACAGAAAGAAAAAAGGCATGAAGAGTCACATGTTCACAAATGAGGGCTAGAACCAAACCCAGGCACTGTGACCTGCTACACAGCAGAGGCAGATATGAAGATTTCTTCAAGGGTGCTTATTACAGCATCATTTATAATAGCAAATAAAGTACCCAAAAAAATCAACAAAGGAGGTGATTCATTCAGTTATGATTTGTCCACATAAGTGAGTCATTAAAAATCTGGTTAAAGAAAACTCATTTCCGATCCTGCCAGGTGCTGATACAGGCAGAACTTTCCGGAGCTTCTCCTTGGAAGCTGCCAGTTGCTGTGATGTCCTATTTCTTGATCCAGGTGGTAATGCAGAGGTGTGCTCACATTGGGATCATTCATCAAGCGGTACACTTCGGATTTGTGAACTTTTCTGTGTGTGAGCAGAGATCGTGCCACTTCACTCCAGCCTGGGCGACACAGCAAGACTCCATCTCAAAAAAAAAAAAAAGTTATTTTTAAAAATTTAAGTTGCCAGGTGTTTCTCCCTACGGGGACACCATAAGGCTGTGGAGCAGGCTTCTTGGGTCAGGGATGAGGCCATAGTTACGTAGACCCAAGGCTGGTAGCCACCGCTTGCTCCATGTGGAATTGGCTCTCAAGATTCTGTGGTCTGAGAAAGCCTGGTCCTTCCCATACTGCAAGAAGGAAATGCTATGCAGGAAGTGGCTGGCCTTCCGGCAGATAGAAATGAAGGTCCTCCCCCACCTCACAGCCCACCTTCCCATTCCAACCGGTGGGTTGACATTTCCACCTCCAAGTGAAACTGGCAATCTGACTGCAGGCCCAGGATACAGGTCCAGTCCTGAGGGAGACAAGGTCCTAACAGGGTAGGGGATCACCACTCCAGAACAGAGGGGGTATCTTGGGGAGTGGGGGACACAAGTCTTGACCTCCTCTTCATCTAGGCAGGCAGGAGCTCCTGTGATCAATATGAACATTGAAACAGCAGTTACCTTGACACAAGGAAATGTTCATCAACTGCTATCACACAAACAAAGCAGCTTGTAAAATGACATAGACACTATGATGTAATTGTTTTTTTAAATGAGTGGGCGGGGCGTGTGTGTGGAGCCTAGAACAATGGTTTTTCTCTAGGTTACAGAATGAATTACTTTTTCTCTTTTACTCTGTATTCTAAATTTCCTATAATTGACCTATTTCTTTTGTAATCTGAGATTTAAAATTATATTACAAAAAACCTTAAGGGAGAGATTGCTGGTATCTCTTCTTTCATCACCCTGTGGCCCTTTCCTTTCCAGCGCCCAGCTGGGCAAAACTAGTCTCCACTGGCCCCAAGAGCCTGCTCCTTCTGTTACAGGAAAGGGGTCCCGATCCAGGCCCCAAGAGAGGCTTCTTAGATCTCACACAAGAAAGAATATGGGGCAAGTCCACAGAGTAAAGTGAAAGCAAGTTTATTAAGAAAGTGAAGGAGTAAATGAATGGCTACTCCATAAGCAGAACAGCCCTGATGACTGCTGATTATCAGTCATCTATGATTATCTTTTGATCATATATTAAAGAAGGGGTGGATTATTCATGAGTTTTCTGGGCAAAAGGTAGGGAGTTCCCAGAACTGACAATTTCCCTGTTCCCCTTCCTTTTAGCTCGCACAGGGTAACTTCCGGATGTTGCCATGGCATTTGTAAACTGTCATGCACTGGTGGGAGTGTCTTTTCGCATGCTAATGTGTTATAATTAGCGTACAATGGGGAGTGCGGTCAACCAGAGGTCATGATCACCACCATCTTGGTTTAGGCTGTTTTTGGGGTTTTGTTTTGTTCTTTTTGAGACAGAGTTTCACTCTTGTTGCCCAGGCTGAAATGCAGTGATGCCATCTTGGCTCACTGCAACCTCCGCCTCCCAGGTTCAAGTGATTCTCCTGCCTCAGCCTCCCAAATAGCTGGGATTACAGGTGCACACCACCACGCCTGGCTAATTTTTTGTATTTTTAGTAGAGACAGGGTTTCACCATGGCCAGGCTGGTCTTGAACTCCTGACCTCAGGTGATCTGCCCGTCTCGACCTCCCAGAGTGCTGGGATTACAGGCGTGAGCCACCATGCCCAGCCAGCTGGCTTTTTAAAAATTTTAATTGCATTCTGTTTTATCAGTGGAGTCCCTGTGACCTGTATCTTGGGACCTCCTGTTTCATCCTGTGACTACCAAGGCCTAGCCTCCTGGGAATGCAGCCCAGCAAGTCTCAGCCTCATTTTACCCAGTCCCCATTCAAGATGGAGTCCCTCTGGTTGGAATGCCTCTGTCACTTCCATCACCCACCTCCACTCTCAACCTACACCACCTCCCCTTCTCCAGGTCCACTACCAACCCCCACCAGGGGGAAATAAGTAAACTGCATGAGCTCTGAGAAAGCAGAAAAAAAGCCACCTCATGAAGGTGAGTCAAGGACTGAGTCACTGACAGAGATGGATAGGTAAATGGGCGGACAGATAGACAGACATGGAGACTGAAATAGAAATGCCTCCCAAAGGCCACAGAGAGCCAGCACCATGTCTTCACTTCCACCCAGGACTATCACTTATGACACCCCCACCAGCCTGGGCACCCACGGGAGACTTGGCAGGTCTGGCTGCTCTCTGTGACAACTGTAGTCAGCACAGGGGCTGGTATTCCACAGATACCCAGGGAACATGCTAAGTGAGTGAGTGAGTGAGTGGATGAATGAAGGAATCGTTCATTGGGAGAAGCATCAGCAGATAGAGATGACGGGAGGGAGTGTGTAACAGAGTTGAGGAGGAACAGAAACAGATGGAGACAGATGGAGGCTGCAAGTCACACAGTTGGCCACAGACAGAAAATGAACGAGTAAGATGGAGGGAGGTTACTGCAGAAAATTTAAAAGCTATAGAAAGCCGGTCATGGTGGTGTGCACCTGTAGTCCCAGAGGCTAAGGCAGGAGGATGGCTTGAGCCCAGGAGTTCCAGGTTGCTGTGAATCCACTACACCCCAGCCTGGGGAACATAGCAAGACTATGCTTTTTTAAAAAAACAAAAACAAACAAACAAAGAAAAAGCTAGAGAAACCCAGAGAGATCCCAGTGAAAGTTAAATATACAGACGAAAAGAAAAGGAGGGAGAGAGAGCACACAAGCCCTCCCTTAACCTTGTCAGGACGTTAGTAGTCAGAACCAGTGGTTCCTGCCTTAGTTTCCCTCCTAGATTTGCAGGCCTCTGCTGGATTGTGTCCCCAGGGCCTGGCGCCCTGCTTGGTTTTGCCAGTTCTCTCCCTTGGGCAGGGGACAGTTGCCCTCTTCCCCCCAGGGCATGCCAGCTCAGGGCCCTCCCACCCAGAAGGCCCAGACAACTACGCAGGCAGGTCCCTGGGAGAAGATCCCTCTCCCCAGCTGGTCCTCATTCCTGCAATAACAATCGGCCCCTGCCTCTACTGGCTCTGGGCTCAGGGCCCCCAGGTTGGGTAGGGGTTGGGGCTGGAGGTGGAGGTAGAGACAGGAATGTTACCATTCTGCAGGCCACACAGAGCCTGCTTGCCCCAGACTCTGAGGAGGGGTGAAAGTCAGAGAGGGGAGAAGCTCTAAGGGGCTGAGGGGGCTTCCCGCCTCCACAGAACCCAACCTGAATGCCCAGAGTACTGTATCAGCTTGGTTATTTCCCAATCCCCTGGGAGCCGTGGGGGAGGGGGCCCAGAGAGCTGGGAGGAAAAAGGACTGGGAAGTAGCCAAAGCCACAGAATTCCCCTGGGTCCTAGAGAAGGGTGGGTTCCTTCCACCCCCAACCCCATTAGTCCCTCCAAAAGGCTCTGACCTCACCTCCCCCACTTCCGGAGTGGAGTTCCAGCCCTGAAGAAACACTTCCAAACCCATGGCTCTGGCCCCCTCCTCAGGCCCCTTCCTCAGCTGCCTCGGCCCTGGGGACTGGGTCCCCCGCCCCACCGTTGCACCAGATGTGGCTGCGGGGGAGGGGTAGGCACGGGGCCCAGCTGGCAGTGGTCACTTGGTGGTCCTCTCCCTGCAGAGTCAGCGCTTTCTGTGCCAGCTCGCCCAGCCTCCTCACTCAGCACTTCCTCCAGCCCACTTTCCAGAGGCAGCAGCTGCCTGGGTTGGGTCTTGGATTCCCAGTGCTGCCCAAAACCCATCTACAGTGCAGCCTGGAAGATGGAGGGCTTAGGTGCCCCGGGGCCTGCCCTCATGGCTTCCCCACTACCACAGAAAATTCCGACCCTCAATGGGCCTCCTAGTACTTTCCTCTGCAAAGCAAGTGAGGAATCCCACAGCTCCTGACCCCTCTCTGCTCCCTAGACCTGCTGCTGGTCAGGCCTGCTGCTTCCTGGCTCCCCCATGGACTTCCCAGAACCCGGCCTTCCATTGACAGGGTCACGGGACCCTGGCTGCTCCGTGGGAGCCCCAGCAACACAGAGCTGAGCATGCGGTAGGGGCTTAATAAAGTCGTGCCCGATCAACAGGCTCTTTCATCCTTCTATTACCACCCCTCTGAGGGTCCCTTGACACTGGTTCCTAGTGCCAAGAACTGGCAACAAGCCTCAAGCACATGCCTGGGTCTTAAAAATGTGGGTGTGAATCCCAGCCTGTAGGGACAGGCAGAGAGAGCTGCCCTTCCCCCCAGACAGCTCTGGCTCAGCTCAGCCTTTGAGTCCACGCCCTCATTTGACCCCAGCTCTGCACCCTCCATAGCCTGCCCAGGTCTCTTTTAGGACCCCACCCTGCAGGTTTCAACCTAAGGATGCCAGGACACCTCCAGCCACCGAGGCAAGGCCTTGCTCAGCATGAGGAGAGGTGAAGGTAGGCAGGCTCCCCTGGGCTCACAGAGCTGCTGGGCCTGTCAGCCACTGCAGGAGACCTAAACCCAAGCAGAATGAGGTCAGAGGGAGGGAGTAGAGAGGAAGGGAAAGGACAGCTCTGGTGGAGGGGCCACCTCTGGCCCACCTGCACAAGGTTCACCCTGGGCAAGGAAAGATGCTGAAGACAGATAAAAACAGGAAAGACAGAGGAAGTGGGAATGGGGGTCAACCCCAAGAGATACACCCCTCCCTTCTCTCACAAGTCAAGAGGAAAGAAAGAAAATAGTGGCCACATGTCTGGCTCTGTGCTGGGGACTTTTCAAAATCCTCTCATTCCATCCTCCCAAATATGCCACAAGAAAGGTATGATTACCCCCAGGTCACAGACGGGACTCTGAAGCTCTGAGAGCTTAAAAACCTTCCCTGGGGAGTGGCTGGGCCAGGCCAGGTCCCCCGCTTAAGTCACGGTGTGGATCCTGGGTCTCCATCTCAGCAGGGATGGCTGGCAGGAGCGCCGTCCTGGCCAGGGAAGTCTGTGCAGAGGCCCAAGCTATGTTCAGAGCAGAGTTTATTCAAATAGAGCCTAACAGGAAACTTGGCTCCTCTGACTCACTCTGATTCGACCTTATTAAGAAAAAAGAGAGAGGAGCAGGAGCCAGCATCGGGTAAGGTTTCACGCCAAGAGCTGGCTCCGAGGCCCGCTGAGTGGAATGGCCTGTGCCCTGATCCCCCCACACCCAAAGCCTTGAGGCAGTCCCTACTCTGCTGTCTGAGTCAAGGCGAGGGGTTCTGCCTTCATTTTAGGGCAACTGAGTTCCCTTCCTCACAGTCATCCTCTATCCTCCCTCCACTCCTCTTCCCTTCCCTCCCTGCCTAGGGGTACCCTGAGGCCTGTTTCCACTTCTCCCCCTCCTCTGCTGCCGCAGCTGCCCATCTGGCTGGCGGGAGGGCCCTACAGGACCCCAGGGATTCCAAGCAGCTGAGGCCAACACTGCAGGGGGCAAGCAGGAGGGAGGGAAGGCTTAACCCTCCAGGTCCCGGCCCTTAGTGAGTCCTGCCTCAGCATCTTGCTTGGTGTCAGTCACACCAATGGCTCTTTGGAGGAATCTTTTCTGGAGTCTGAGATGGAAACCCCACGCTAGGGAGCTGAGGTGTGAGCGTTGACAGGTTGCTGGCCAGGAGATATTGGAAGCCCCTGACCTCTGGGCTGAATTCCGGGCATTTAAAGGGTAGAGACATGCCAGAGTCCAAGCCTCAGTCCTGAAGAACAGTGCAATGGGTGAACAAATGCTGCCTGGCAAGGATGGGGTTGGGAGGTCTACAGTTCCCGAAGAATGTCCACCCTAGTTACCTCCTCCCTAGGTGGGCTCCAGGCATTTCCAAAATAAGAAGGAATATACAGGGGCCAAATTAAGGGCAGGTCCTTCATACCTTGTTTATAAGCCCAAGAGGGCAATTTCTGCCCTTCGGTTCCCAGGAATATGGTTGGAGAAGGCAGCCCAGGGGAGGCCGGAAGAGCAGTATTTGGAGTGTGAAGTGTTCAAATTTCTGGGACCCCCTCCTATCCCTGCCATTCCCAGAAGGAACAGAGAATCACCCAAAGCACTCCCAGGAGTGGCCTAATCTTCCATTGGTGAGATGTGGCAGCTGGATGAGATAGAGTAAGGGACTGAGCCACACAGCAACAGGACCAGGCCAGTTCTCCGGAACCACCCTTCTGTTGTTCTATGCTTACAGGCTTCTCTGTCTCACAGTGACCCCTGTCCCATATCAAAGACAGCCCCTGGTTTTGTTTTATCCATGTGTACACTCAAGTTATTCTCAGGCTATGCAGAGTCAAGAGATGCAGGACAGAAACCATACGTGATGTTTGGGAAGTTGCCCTCTCCGAGGATCTCACAAGTGCTATTCAGCCCAGGGATACACCCCACTCTTCAGACTGGGAAAGTAAGCCCCTGAGGTGTGCCACGAGGGAAAAGCAGCAGCTCCAGTGCCTCTCTACACAGGTCCAAGAGCTGCGGTGCACCTGAGGCCTGGAATTAGAGAGTGGTCCCTGTTCAGCATCTCCCCGAGGAGGCCCACAAACAAAGAGGGTGTGTGGTTTTTTTTTTTTTTTCTTATTGAGGGTGTGGGATAATGGCGGAAGGAACATACAAAGAGGGTGTCTCTTAATTAGCATTGGCTCTAGGGAACAAGGAAAAGGGAAAACTCGGGAGTACTGGGAGGAGGCTGGAGCAGACAGGAGTCAGAGGCCCATTCCAGCCCAAAGGAGAAGGCAGTGAGCAAGGTGGAGACCAGGGATGCTGTGTCCAAAGCAGAGAGGAATGGGCGGGGTGGTGCTGACACTCCAGCCCTGTTCTGCCTGCCAGAGCCCCACTTACCAGGCCCGAGTCCCCAGAGGTCCTCTCCTACTCCCTGCTCGATTCCCTTCCTCAGAGGCAGGTCTGTGGCTTGGCTGGGAACTCCAGGGACGGAGGGAGCACTGCAGCTGTAGGACCGGCACATAGCTAAAAGCCGGCGGGCCATAGGGCCCCGCGGAGGAGGCCCCAGCAGGCGGACCAAGAGGCCGAAGCCTCCCGACGCTCCCAGCCTGTTGCTTATTCATTCAGAGTGGGAAAGCGCCAGCCGAGCGGCCAGCCAGTGCGGGGCTGGCCATGTAAGGCCCACAGGCGGTCCTGCCCGCCCGGTGCCCTGCGGAGAGCCTCGTGCAGCCCTGGGCACCGCCCCTGCCCTGCCCTGACCCCTTGGCCTCGAAATGCTGTCATCGGAGGAGCCGTCCCGCTCGGGACAAGGCCAGCATGGACAAAGCTAGAGCTGGGGCAAGCAAGGAGCCTTCCTGTCCTCGAGGCCGTGGGAAGAGAAGCACGCCCAGGGGGCCACTCCTGAGAGCCTCTCTGTCCACCAGGCCTCTGCAGAGGGGTCACCATGGCTCTGGCCCGAGGCAGCCAGCAGCTGGGGGCCCTGGTGTGGGGCGCCTGCCTGTGCGTGATGGTGCACGGGCAGCAGGCGCAGCCCGGGCAGGGCTCGGACCCCGGGCGCTGGCGGCAGCTGATCCAGTGGGAGAACAACGGGCAGGTGTACAGCTTGCTCAACTCGGGTTCAGAGTACGTGCCGGCCGGGCCTCAGCGCTCCGAGAGTAGCTCCCGGGTGCTGCTGGCCGGCGCGCCCCAGGCCCAGCAGCGACGCAGCCACGGGAGCCCCCGGCGTCGGCAGGCGCCGTCCCTGCCCCTGCCGGGGCGCGTGGGCTCGGACACCGTGCGCGGCCAGGCGCGGCACCCATTTGGCTTCGGCCAGGTGCCCGACAACTGGCGCGAGGTGGCCGTCGGGGACAGCACGGGCATGGCCCGGGCCCGCACCTCCGTCTCCCAGCAACGGCACGGGGGCTCCGCCTCCTCGGTCTCGGCTTCGGCCTTCGCCAGCACCTACCGCCAGCCGCCCTCCTATCCGCAGCAGTTCCCCTACCCGCAGGCGCCCTTCGTCAGCCAGTACGAGAACTACGACCCCGCGTCGCGGACCTACGACCAGGGTTTCGTGTACTACCGGCCCGCGGGCGGCGGCATGGGCGCGGGGGCGGCGGCCGTGGCCTCCGCAGGAGTCATCTACCCCTACCAGCCCCGGGCGCGCTACGAGGAGTACGGCGGCGGCGAGGAGCTGCCCGAGTACCCGCCGCAGGGCTTCTACCCAGCCCCCGAGAGGCCCTATGTGCCGCCGCCGCCGCCGCCACCGCCCCCCGACGGCCTGGACCGCCGCTACTCGCACAGCCTGTACAGCGAGGGCACCACCGGCTTCGAGCAGGCCTACCCCGACCCCGGCCCCGAGGCGCCGCAGGCCTACGGCGGAGACCCGCGCCTGGGCTGGTACCCGCCCTACGCCAACCCGCCGCCCGAGGCGTACGGGCCGCCTCGCGCGCTGGAGCCGCCCTACCTGCCGGTGCGCAGCTCCGACACGCCCCCGTCGGGTGGGGAGCGGAACGGCGCGCAGCAGGGCCGCCTCAGCGTGGGCAGCGTGTACCGGCCCAACCAGAACGGCCGCGGTGAGTACCGCCCCCGACGCCCCTCCGGCCGCGCGTGCCCATGGCCGCGCGAAACTGCTCCGGGCGCCGGGCCCCTCAGAACTTCCCGGAGGCCTCCCCTGAGCTGCTAAGCACGGAGCAGCGCCCCCTGCCGACTTCCCCCGACCCAGCCAACAGCCCCCCTGGCACCTCACCTCCCAGCTTAACCCGAACCCAGGCATCTTCAGTGCCAGGGTTTGGCCAGGCAGGTGTGGGCTCTGATCCTGGCTTTGGTGGAGGGACTAGCCGAGCTTTGGGAGGAGGTGTGCCTTCTGCACCTGGCTTGGGTCATCTGAGGACAAAAGGAAGAAACCCTTCATCCAGCTTCTCCCTCATTTCAGTGAGGGCATCTCCTTCTCCCCTTAGAGATGTCCTATGCCAGCTTACAGGGTGAGGCAAGGAGCATCAGAAACCTGAGTCTTCAGGGCCAGAAAGGCCTTAAGGGATGCCCCTGGAGGTGTGGCAGGTTGCCCATCACTGGGCATATGTGAGCTTGGCCTGAGTGCGCAGGAGGTTAGAGGGGAGCCTGTGCTCCAGGCGGCAGTCCAGACTTCCTCGGGGGAGTCTGCAAGGCTGGGGCAAGACAGACCAGTCAGGCACTGGCCTGGGTGCAGAATTTCAGAGGCTACCAAAAAACACAGTAGTTGAGATGAGTAATATTGAGATGTATTTTTTAACGTCAAAATTAATGCAAAACAACAACAACAACAACAACCCTGTGATAAACAATATATCCAAATTTTAAATAGAGTCAGTAATAGTGTATGCCAAGCCATATTGGAGCCTGAGGCAAACTGAAAAGTCAGTAACACGGATCTTGTCTTAATTTGAAATTTGGATATTTTGTTCATTACAGATCTTTTTGCATTAATTTTTATTTTAAAAACGATTGCGTTAAATATTACTTATCTCCACTACTGAGTTTTTTTGGCACCCCCTAAAATTTTGCACCCCGAGCAAAAAAAGAAAGAAAACAAAACACCTCGCTGGCCTCATTCCCCTCACCCTGGTCCTGGTCCTGGGGGAGAGCCCCAGCTGTGGACGGGCTCCCTCTGGCTTTTCAGCGCGTGAAGATACGTCCTCCTCTTGGGAAGGCCCAAGGCCTCTGCGCATGAGGACACACTGGAGAGGCAGCTTCCACCCATGCTGTTAGCAGTCAGGGCCACTGTGACAAGGGCTGACGGGTGGGTCTGGCTAGTGCGGATGACCATCATCCATTCTCTGCTGTCCTAGAATCCCCCGCCCTGCTACCCTCTCCATACAGACAGCCTTTGGGTCAAGGTTTTCTGGTCAGTGCCTGGTACTTATGCAGTCCCACCCTGCCTTGCCTCTTTCAAGTTGTCGTCAGTTCCCTCTACCCGTAATCCTCTGCTCCCCATTGAGGTTGCTGTGCCTGGCCCACCAAGTAAGGGCTGAGCCCTACAGTGCCCCAGAGCATAGGTGCTAGCCCCCCAGCCTCCTCCTCAGCCTCTGTCAGCAGAGGTATGATGCCTTGTCTCCAGCCAAGCTGACCTCAGGAAGGGGCTGCTGCTCATGGGGTGCCTGTCTCCCTGGGTACTGCTGGAGGCCAAGACTAGGCGAGATGAGTGTCTCCACTGGGAACACTCACTCCGTCACATCCAAGGGACTCATTTGAGTTGTGTGCTGAATTCCACTTTAAGAACCTGCAGGAGCTCAGGAAAAATCAGATGGCAGGTCCTTCTGTGGTGTAATGCAGGATGCATCCACCTGCTCTGGTCCTTATCAGCATCCCTGCAGAAGGGCACGTTATAGCCAAGCATCAGCTGCTGTAGGGCCCCTTGGAGGATAGGATGTTTAACCTAGAGGGTGCTGAGCTTTTGCAGTGGCTTTTCTTAGAATGCAAGACCTCAGCATGAGGCTCAGCCTGATGGGCCCCACCTCTGGGCAGAGAAAACTGAGCCCTCAAATGCCACAATACTGGCAGAGGCAGGCCTGGGACTTGGCATCTGGGCACCAAGTCAGTGAGTTTTCCAGGGCCTCTCTTTGGGCTGTTAGTTCTTAAGGAAGCCAGTTGGTTGAGAGGGGAATGGGACAGGGCAAGGCCATGTCTGAAGTGGGGGTGCTTGGTGCTTAGCAGACCTCTGGCCACTACCCCTGAGCCCCACAGTTCATTTTGGGTCGGAAACATTTCTCCCCTGAAGGCAGCATCCTAGGTGCCAAGCTGAGTGTGCTCACATGCATCAAGTCCAGGCCCTTCCCTGGGGGAGTCTAGCAGGAGGGGCATCTCAGTGCTATAATTAGGCAAGCACTGGTGGGGCCAGGGGCTTTGGGAGCCCAGAGGAGGGCCCTCCCAGTCAGGGGCTACGGCTCAGGGAGACTTCCAGAGGAGGCAGTGTCTAAGCATTGCTGCAAGGGATGGTCGTCAGCACCATCCAGGTGTCCCTTCCCCTAATCATTGAGGGTGTGGGGTGGGAGTGTGTTTTTTGCTGGGGAGGGGGTTGCAGGCTAGTTTAGGGCTCACAAAGAGGCCAGAGAGGGAGTAGTCTTTCCCATCATTGGTTCCTCCCCACCCTGCTAGGCCAGACCATGGAAAATCCCAGCCCAAGGAAGGCCAAGCCTTGTACTTGAGATCAGACCCCCAGGCCTGGTGTGGGAGCCCAAGGCGGATTCTCCGAGACTGACTTCATTCCTCCTGGCCACACACCCAGGGGTCTGAGGCTGGGCGCTGGCAGCCTGAGCGTGTGTGTGGGCGTGGACGTGTCCTCACAACACCAAGCACATGTGAGCACCACCCACCTCCCTCCATGGGTGGGTGGTTTCCAAGCGCCTGACCTGAGTCCAGTTTCTTCCTCAGGTACCTGTGCCCTCTTTCTTCCTGCCCTGGGCACTGGTACTGCTTCCTGCAGTACCATTCTCACCAATTCTGAAACATGAAACTGAAAAGAAACTAGGGGAAACAGAGGCCCGGAGGGGGGTCACATACTTTGCCTGGCTCTCAGAGCAAATCCTTGAAGAGAGGCCTGGAGGGTGGCCAGCCACTTCCCAGGCCCAGCTGCGTCCCCTGCACTGTGTCGGCTCCCTTGATGTGACCTCTCCCTCTACCACCAACCAGGCCCTCCTCTCCTGGGATCCTTGCCTCAGCTCCTGCCTCCCTGGAGTTTCAGCTTGTCTGCGCTGGGGGTCTTAGTGCCACGTAAGAAGCCCTGCAGCCCCAGAAGACCAAAGCTCCCCTCCCAAGGCCTTACCCTCCCACCCCCCGCCTGACTCACCGGCTCTGGCAATCCTGCGAAAGGAACATGGAACAGGCTGCCCTGGGCATCCTCCCAGGGCATCTCGGATGGCTGTGCTAGCCTTGCCTGGCATGTGTCCTCTATCCCTGACCTCACATGGCCAATCAGAGGCCAGGAGGGAACTGCAGCTGCCTCCTCCCTGGTCCCTTGCTCCCAGTCTCTCTGTCTCCAGTCTATCCTACATGTGGGCAGATAAACCCCTGCAGTCTGACCAGGTTACTCCTCTGCTCAAGAAGATTCTGTAGCTCCTCAGGGCCTTTAGGACAAAATCTAGTGTCTCAGCCTAGCACTTCAGAGCTAGAGGCACCCCCTTCCTGTCCTTTCTTCCTCCTTTTCTCAAGCCTCCATAGCCCCCATCGGACCATGCTGCTCGTGGGCCTAGATGTTACACCTCCCTAGACACATGCAAGGGTGTTTCTAGGGTACCCCCTTCTCTGTCCAGCCTCCTGCACCCAAGAGGCCAGACCTGTCTGGACCCTTAGTCCGAGAGCAGCCCTGGCTGCCTGCTACCACCCCTCCTGCCTGAGCCCCTAGCTCACCTGGTCCTGCTCCACTCTACCTCCACAGGCTGCCTGCCCTCCTCTGCCCTCCAGATCACTCACCTTCCCCTGCAGAGTTTGGAGTAGATGCAGGGAAGGACCAAAGCAGGCTTTACCCAACAAGCTTCCAGAGTTAGAGCCCAGAGGCAGGGATAATGCCAACTTGGCCATTTGCGGAAGACCACTTCCTGGGCTTAGTGACTTCAATGTGCAGTTTCATTCATCCTCACAACCTCCTAATGAGGTGCAGGTTATGGTGCTCCTGGTGTAGATGAGAAAACTGAGGCCTAGGGAGGTGGCACAGAAGGGTACAGCCGAGCTTGAATTCAAACTGATGCATCACAATGAGATGACCCAGGAGGATGCCATGTTCAGCCTGCGGGCGGGGCAGGGCGTGAGCATGGACCCCTCTGCCAGCTTTGCCTCTGTGGTACTCACCTCCCCCATCTGCATCCAGAGGAAGAATATGCTTGCATTTGCTGAGTGCATTACACATCATCTCCTTTAATTCCCAGGTCCTAGCCAGGTACTGTTTTTTTGTCCCATCTTACAGATAAGGTGACAAGCTCACTTGCTGGCTTTTAGTAGTGGAACCAGTATTGGAGTCTGTGTGACTCCCTATCTTGAGTTCTTAACAACCATGCATTTTTAAAAAATTGTTGTGTATTACTGCTTATCTTGTACACCTCATTTGTTCACTCATTCATTTGGTCATTCATTCATTCAACAGATATTTGCCTGCTAGATTCTGGGCACTGGTTGTGACAGGGTGAGATGGGACAGTGAGTGTGAAAGACTTTGGAAGCAGAGTCTCTCCCCAGTGTGGTGTTAGGGTGTAGCCTGGTCATGGTCATTGCTGATTCCAGAATGTTTGTGTAACAAACACTCATATAGTGCATACTAAGTGCCGGACGCTATTCTTGGAGCTTTGCAGTTAGAATCACTTAAGCCTCGACCAGGCGCGGTGGCTCACGCCTGTAATCCCAGCACTTTGGGAGGCTGAGGTGGGCAGATCACGAGGTCAGGAGATCAAGACCATCCTGGCTAACACGGTGAAACCCCGTCTCTACTAAAAGTACAAAAATTAACTGGGCACGGTGGCGGGTACCTGTAGTCCCAGCTAGGCGAAGGCAGGAGAATGGTGTGAACCCAGAAGGCGGAGCTAGCAGTGAGCTGAGATCGTGCCACTGCA